GCAACACAGCCCAGCTATTTTATTTTCAGTGTTAAGACTTCCTATAGTTCCCTTTGACGTTTATCTTAAATCTTTCAGTTCCTGAATACCCCAGATCTTGTGTGTTCTTATGGGTCCTATTACCAGGCAATATAAATCAGTATAGTTCCATTGACTTCAGTGGAGCTACATCTATTTATACCAGTTGAGATTCTGGCCCAATATATGCAAATGAATACAACATATGCGACTCAGGGGATGACTCTCATTTCATCTTGAATAGACTGCTTTCAAGTCCTCTTTTCCAACTTCATGGTCTGTGACTTTCACCCACAAAATGCACTGAGAATACTCTTTAGTTCTATTGTTCTTAAGTTACGGCATATATATCCAGATAAAGAACTAAGATCCAAACCAGATTAGACTAACCATAAAAAAAGTAATACCACAAATTTATCCTAGTTGTGGTACACCAGTACAAAACTGTAGCCTTCACAATCCCAAAGCAAGATTACTCTGCAGTGAAATACATTAACACTGAGAGGTCAGGGGCTGCTGGAACAATTGTTATAGTGGGGGTGCTGAGAGCCACTGAACCAAACTGTAAACCTTGGATATAATGGAAACCACTTCAAGCCAGGGGGGTTGGCAGCACCCCTAATTCCTCACTTATGTGAAAGGTGCATATTAAAAGCAAGTTTCCAGAGGTTCATTCGCTCCTTTACAGTACTTCTGGTCTTCTCAGTTAAATCTCACTGCTTTTGAAAAACCTTACAACACTCTCTGAGACTGGAGCCATGAAGGGACAGACAGGGTATGTCTACACTACGGAATAAGGTCGAATTTATAGAAGTCGGTTTTTTAGAAATCGGTTTTATAAATTCGAGTGTGTGTGTCCCCACAGAAAATGCTCTAAGTGCATTAAGTGCATTAACTCGGCGGAGCGCTTCCACAGTACCGAGGCAAGCGTCGACTTCCGGAGCGTTGCACTGTGGGTAGCTATCCCACAGTTCCCGCAGTCTCCGCTGCCCATTGGAATTCTGGGTTGAGATCCCAATGCCTGATGGGGCTAAAACATTGTCGCGGGTGGTTCTGGGTACGTGTCATCAGGCCCCCGTTCCCTCCCTCCCCCGTGAAAGCAAGGGCAGACAATCATTTCGCGCCTTTTTTCCTGAGTTACCTGTGCAGACGCCATACCATGGCAAGCATGGAGCCCGCTCAGGTAACCGTCACCCTATGTCTCCTGGGTGCTGGCAGACGCGGTACGGCATTGCTACACAGTAGCAGCAACCCCTTGCCTTGTGGCAGCAGACGGTACAGTACGACTGGTAGCCGTCATCGTCATGTCTGAGGTGCTCCTGGTCGCCTCTGTGAGGTCGATCAGGAGCGCCTGGGCAGACATGGGCACAGGGACTAAATTTGGAGTGACTTGACCAGGTCATTCTCTTTAGTCCTGCAGTCAGTCCTATTGAACCGTCTTATGGTGAGCGGGCAGGCGATACGGACTGCTAGCAGTCGTACTGTACCATCTTCTGCCGAGCAGCCATGAGATGTGGATGGCATGCAGTCCTTCTGCACTGTCTGCTGCCAGCCAAAGATGTAAAAGATAGATGGAGTGGATCAAAACAAGAAATAGACCAGATTTGTTTTGTACTCATTTGCTTCCCCCTCCCCCTGTCTAGGGGACTCATTCTTCTAGATCACACTGCAGTCACTTACAGAGAAGGTGCAGCGAGGTAAATCTAGCCATGTATCAATCAGAGGCCAGGCTAACCTTCTTGCTCCAATAAGGACAATAACTTAGGTGCACAATTTCTTATTGGAACCCTCCGTGAAGTCCTGCCTGAAATACTCCTTGATGTAAAGCCACCCCCTTTGTTGATTTTAGCTCCCTGAAGCCAACCCAGTAAGCGCCCCTCCCAGCGTCAGAGCAATGGCAAACAATCGGGCATCTGAGAGTGCTGTCCAGAGCAGTCACAATGGAGCACTCTGATGGGGCTAAAACATTGTCGCGGGTGGTTCTGGGTACGTGTCGTCAGGCCCCCGTTCCCTCCCTCCCTCCGTGAAAGCAAGGGCAGACAATCATTTCGCGCCTTTTTTCCTGAGTTACCTGTGCAGACGCCATACCACAGCAAGCATGGAGCCCGCTCAGGTAACCGTCACCCTATGTCTCCTGGGTGCTGGCAGATGCGGTACGGCTTTGCTGCACAGTAGCAGCAACCCCTTGCCTTCTGGCAGCAGACGGTGCAATACGACTGGTAGTCGTCCTCATCGTGTCCGAGGTGCTCCTGGCCGCGTCGGCTGGGAGCGCCTGGGCAGACATGGGCGCAGGGACTAAATTTGGAGTGACTTGACCAGGTCATTCTCTTTAGTCCTGCAGTCAGTCCTATTGAACCGTCTTATGGTGAGCGGGCAGGCGATACGGACTGCTAGCAGTCGTACTGTACCATCTTCTGCCAGGCAGGCAAGAGATGAGGATTGCTAGCAGTTGTATTGCACCATCTTCTGCCAGGCAGGCAAGAGATGGGGATGGCTAGCAGTCGTACTGTACCATCTTCTGCCGAGCAGCCATGAGATGTGGATGGCATGCAGTCCTTCTGCACCGTCTGCTGCCAGCCAAAGATGTAAAAGATAGATGGAGTGGATCAAAACAAGAAATAGACCAGATTTGTTTTGTACTCATTTGCTTCCCCCCTCCCCTGTCTAGGGGACTCATTCTTCTAGATCACACTGCAGTCACTTACAGAGAAGGTGCAGCGAGGTAAATCTAGCCATGTATCAATCAGAGGCCAGGCTAACCTTCTTGCTCCAATAAGGACAATAACTTAGGTGCACCATTTCTTATTGGAACCCTCCGTGAAGTCCTGCCTGAAATACTCCTTGATGTAAAGCCACCCCCTTTGTTGATTTTAGCTCCCTGAAGCCAACCCTGTAAGCGCCCCTCCCAGCGTCAGAGCAATGGCAAACAATCGGGCATCTGAGAGTGCTGTCCAGAGCAGTCACAATGGAGCACTCTGATGGGGCTAAAACATTGTCGCGGGTGGTTCTGGGTACGTGTCGTCAGGCCCCCGTTCCCTCCCTCCCTCCGTGAAAGCAAGGGCAGACAATCATTTCGCGCCTTTTTTCCTGAGTTACCTGTGCAGACGCCATACCACAGCAAGCATGGAGCCCGCTCAGGTAACCGTCACCCTATGTCTCCTGGGTGCTGGCAGACGCGGTACGGCTTTGCTGCACAGTAGCAGCAACCCCTTGCCTTCTGGCAGCAGACGGTGCAATACGACTGGTAGTCGTCCTCATCGTGTCCGAGGTGCTCCTGGCCGCGTCGGCTGGGAGCGCCTGGGCAGACATGGGCGCAGGGACTAAATTTGGAGTGACTTGACCCCCCCTGTACAGGCACCCCCTTTGTTGATTTTAGCTCCCTGAAGCCAACCCTGTAAGCCGTGTCGTCAGTCGCCCCTCCCTCTGTCAGAGCAACGGCAGACAATCGTTCCGCGCCTTTTTTCTGTGCGGACGCCATACCACGGCAAGCATGGAGCCCGCTCAGCTCACTTTGGCAATTAGGAGCACATTAACCACCACACGCATTATTCAGCAGTATATGCAGCACCAGAACATGGCAACGCGATACCGGGCGAGGAGGCGACGTCAGCGCGGTCCCGTGAGTGATCAGGACATGGACACAGATTTCTCTGAAAGCATGGGCCCTGACAATGCATGCATCATGGTGCTAATGGGGCAGGTTCATGCTGTGGAACGCCGATTCTGGGCTCGGGAAACAAGCACAGACTGGTGGGACCGCATAGTGTTGCAGGTCTGGGACGATTCCCAGTGGCTACGAAACTTTCGCATGCGTAAGGGCACTTTCATGGAACTTTGTGACTTGCTTTCCCCTGCCCTGAAGCGCATGAATACCAAGATGAGAGCAGCCCTCACAGTTGAGAAGCGAGTGGCGATAGCCCTGTGGAAGCTTGCAACGCCAGACAGCTACCGGTCAGATGGGAATCAATTTGGAGTGGGCAAATCTACTGTGGGGGCTGCTGTGATGCAAGTAGCCCACGCAATCAAAGATCTGCTGATATCAAGGGTAGTGACCCTGGGAAATGTGCAGGTCATAGTGGATGGCTTTGCTGCAATGGGATTCCCTAACTGTGGTGGGGCTATAGACGGAACCCATATCCCTATCTTGGCACCGGAGCACCAAGCCGCCGAGTACATAAACCGCAAGGGGTACTTTTCGATAGTGCTGCAAGCTCTGGTGGATCACAAGGGACGTTTCACCAACATCAACGTGGGATGGCCGGGAAAGGTGCATGATGCTCGCATCTTCAGGAACTCTGGTCTGTTTCAAAAGCTGCAGGAAGGGACTTTATTCCCAGACCAGAAAATAACTGTTGGGGATGTTGAAATGCCTATATGTATCCTTGGGGACCCAGCCTACCCCTTAATGCCATGGCTCATGAAGCCATACACAGGCAGCCTGGACAGTGGTCAGGAGCTGTTCAACTACAGGCTGAGCAAGTGCAGAATGGTGGTAGAATGTGCATTTGGACGTTTAAAGGCGCGCTGGCGCAGTTTACTGACTCGCTTAGACCTCAGCGAAACCAATATTCCCACTGTTATTACTGCTTGCTGTGTGCTCCACAATATCTGTGAGAGTAAGGGGGAGACGTTTATGGCGGGGTGGGAGGTTGAGGCAAATCGCCTGGCTGCTGGTTACGCGCAGCCAGACACCAGGGCGGTTAGAAGAGCACAGGAGGGCGCGGTACGCATCAGAGAAGCTTTGAAAAACAGTTTCATGACTGGCCAGGCTACAGTGTGAAAGTTCTGTTTGTTTCTCCTTGATGAACCCCCCCGCCCCTTGGTTCACTCTACTTCCCTGTAAGCTAACCACCCGCCCCTCCTCCCTTCAATCACCGCTTGCAGAGGCAATAAAGTCATTGTTGCTTCACATTCATGCATTCGTTATTCATTCATCACACAAATAGGGGGATGACTACCAAGGTATCCCAGGAGGGGTGGTGGAGGAGGGAAGGAAAATGCCACACAGCACTTTAAGCACAGCACTTTAAAAGTTTACAACTTTAAAATTTATTGAATGACAGCCTTCTTTTTTTTGGGCAATCCTCTGTGGTGGAGTGGCTGGTTGGCTGGAGGCCCCCCCACCGCGTTCTTGGGCGTCTGGGTGTGGAGGCTATGGAACTTGGGGAGGAGGGCGGTTGGTTACAGAGGGGCTGCAGTGGCAGTCTGTGCTCCAGCTGCCTTTGCTGCAGCTCAACCATACACTGGAGCATACTGGTTTGGTCCTGCAGCAGCCTCAGCATTGAATCCTGCCTCCTCTCATCACGCTGCTGCCACCTTTGAGCTTCAGCCCTGTCTTCAGCCCGCCACTTACTCTCTTCAGCCCGCCACTTACTCTCTTCAGCCCTCCACCTCTCCTCCCGGTCATTTTGTGCTTTCCTGCACTCTGACATTATTTGCCTCCACGCATTCGTCTGTGCTCTGTCAGTGTGGGAGGACAGCATGAGCTCGGAGAACATTTCATCGCGAGTGCGTTTTTTTTTCTTTCTAAGCTTCACTAGCCTCTGGGAAGGAGAAGATCCTGTGATCATTGAAACACATGCAGCTGGTGGAGAAAAAAAAAGGGACAGCGGTATTTAAAAAGACACATTTTATAAAACAGTTGCTACACTCTTTCAGGGTAAACCTTGCTGTTAACATTACATACATAGCACATGTGCTTTCGTTACAAGGTCGCATTTTGCCTCCTCCCACCGCGTGAACAGATTTTGGTTGAATGCCAGCAAACATACACTGCAATGCTTTGTTCTACAGTGATTCCCCAGTACGTGTTGCTGGCCTGGAGTGGTAAAGTGTCCTACCATGAAGGACGAAATAAGGCTGCCCTCCCCAGAAACCTTTTGCAAAGGCAGAACCGCAAATGCCAGGGCAAAGTAATCCTTTCACATGCTTGCTTTTAAACCATGTATAGCATTTTAAAAGGTACACTCACCAGAGGTCCCTTCTCCGCCTGCTGAGTCCAGGAGGCAGCCTTGGGTGGGTTCGGGGGGTACTGGCTCCAGGTCTAGGGTGAGAAACAGTTCCTGGCTGTCGGGAAAACCGGTTTCTCCGCTTGCTTGCTGTGAGCTAGCTACAACCTCCTCCTCATCATCTTCTTCGTCCCCAAAACCTACTTCCGTATTGCCTCCATCTCCATTGAAGGAGTCAAACAACACGGCTGGGGTAGTGGTGGCTGAACCCCCTAAAATGGCATGCAGCTCATCATAGAAGCGGCATGTTTGGGGCTCTGACCCAGAGCGGCTGTTCGCCTCTCTGGTTTTCTGGTAGGCTTGCCTCAGCTCCTTCAGTTTCACGCGGCACTGCTTCGGGTCCCTGTTATGGCCTCTGTCCTTCATGCCCTGGGAGATTTTCAGAAAGGTTTTGGCATTTCGAAAACTGGAACGGAGTTCTGATAGCACGGATTCCTCTCCCCAAACAGCGATCAGATCCCGTACCTCCCGTTCGGTCCATGCTGGAGCTCTTTTGCGATTCTGGGACTCCATCATCGTCACCTGTGCTGATGAGCTCTGCATGGTCACCTGCAGCTTGCCACGCTGGCCAAACAGGAAATGAGATTCAAAAGTTCGCGGTTCTTTTCCTGTCTACCTGGCCAGTGCATCTGAGTTGAGAGCGCTGTCCAGAGCGGTCAGAATGGAGCACTCTGGGATAGCTCCCGGAGGCCAATACCATCGAATTGTGTCCACAGTACCCCAAATTCGAGCCGGCAACGTCGATTTAAGCGCTAATCCACTTGTCAGGGGTGGAGTAAGGAAATCGATTTTAAGAGCCCTTTAAGTCGAAATAAAGGGCTTCATTGTGTGGACGGGTGCAGGTTTAAATCGATTTAACGCTGCTAAATTCGACCTAAAGTCCTAGTGTAGACCAGGGCAGAGAATACCCTTATATTGGCTGTCATCTAGGATTTCCATTGTGTTTAACCCATTTGCAGTTGTGGGTAAACACCTCTACAAAGTCCTGAGAAGTAAGGCATTGTGATACTGCTCCGTTCAGCTTGATAATATATATTTAATCACTTTTAAATATTACTGGGAGCAACTGAAGAAGCAGAAAGGAACACCCCCATGAGTGTAACATAGTGGGGATGGTAGCATCTGTCCAGAAAAGTGGATTTTGGCATAAACACCCCATTGATATGCATGAGGAAGTTCATATCTTTAAGAGCTATTGTTCTGGGCTTTCTGCAGACTCAGGCAGGTATCACTGCCTTGGTTACATTTGGGTCACATTTTCAAGCATTTCTTTGCCACCATTAGGGATAGAAACTTACTTTTTGTAAATGAAAGCTGAGATTCTGATGTAGTGAGGTGATTCCAGGGGCTGCAGTCCTATGCACATGTCTGTCATGCCTGTGCCTTACTCCAGCACTGCTCTTGAGTCATAGAGGTGTCACTTTTTTTCTTGCCCACTGAAATATTTTACTAGCAATGGGCTGGGGTGGTTGCTTCTTCCTTCCTAGTCATTTTTTTGTGGGGGAGGAGAGAGAGGGGATGATTATGTTTTGGACATTCTAGAATTACAAATTCTTCCTGTCCTTGGGCTTATCACTAATATTTAGAACTATTTCCACAGAGGTGGATCCTCCAGACCTTGCAGACAATGGGAGTTTTGCCTGAGTAAGGTCTGCAAGATCAGGTCTATAGTACTGTTCTTTCACCTGTTAAATTATTGGGCATCAAAACACATATTCAGTCTTTATTCTGTTTTGTTAATCAGGAAGGCCTTGATCTTGCAGAGACTTACATGGATGCTTAGCTTTAGGTGCTGTGAGTAGTCTGAACTTTTTACTTCAGGGGAACCATTCACAGTATATAATGTTAAGCATCAAGATTGCAAGTATTTGTGGGTCTAGGGCCTAAACTTATAGTTTTGGATAACACAGAGAAACATAGACAGGTCTTGGAGATTCTAATGGCTTAAAAATAGAGTTGAGGTACAGATCCAAACTTTTCCAGAGCGACAGGTTTTTTGTTCGATCCCATCTCTTTGGTTTGAGCCCTTACCCCCTCTCCTTTTCAAAGAGACATTTAATTACTTCAAAAGGTCCTCCCTCTTTTGTAAAAGTTTTCTTATATTTAAGAACAAGAAAGAAGTGGATGAAGTAGTATTCCTGGAACTCTTCCCTTTTTACCGCTAGAACAAAACCCAGTCACCACAAAGGACTAATTATGAACTAATTATTCTAATATTTTTGTCTTGCTCTGCTCTTTTTCTCAGTCATGTTCCCCCCCCGCCCCAGCTCCACCCCCCATGCTGAATAGGAGACAATCCAAACAATCAATTAATGAATGACTCTAAATTCCTTGATCTCCTCTTTGTTACAGCAACTCCCACTCCTGATATTTAAAACAGTGAGGATAATCAGGGCAGCATTTAATTTCACCAGCTCCTCTTGTTTCTCTTCCACCTCCTTCTCCCAATTTCTCTCACTCCCTCTCTATTTCTTTCCTACTTTTAATGTTTTTCATCTTAACCTGGAGAAAGAACTACCCAATGGAAAAGGAGAGGGAACAAAACCGGGCCCTGATTCTGTCACTGCTTCCATGTGAGCAGAACCCTGTGCCCACACTTTGGCCCATTGAAATCAATGGAGCTCCACTGAGGTGCAGGGGTTACCCATGTTGAGTCAGCACCAGGAACTGTCCCTGTTGTTCTCCTGGGTCTTCTGCCTCTACGAGAGCTGACAGGGCTGCCATACTGCTTTGCCACTGGGCTCGCTACACAGGTAGGATGATGCATCAGAGTACTGTGTGCAAAAGGCCTAACTTCTGAACTAATATCCCACTCTTCTCCATTTGCACTTACAGCTTTAATCCTAGATTTCCACCAAGCATCCAAGCAACATTGGTTTTTAAAACAGCGGTCAAAGAAGACGCAGTTAACTGGCTGCATCTTCTTAATGAAGATAAATTGAACTCCTTAGAATAAAATTTCACCTTCTAAAAAGGCAACCTTTCATCAATATTAATTATTTGTATTATGGAAGCACCTAAAGACACCAACTGAGATCACACTGCCCTTAGCTCCAGTTCCTATGTTGTGCCCATACGCGTACCAACACGTGTGTATTTCACCAAAAAAACTGATTCCAAGGCCACTGAAGTCAGTGGAAAGACTCCCATTAATTTAATCAGTGGTCCTAAATTCCTGTGTGTCTAAGTTTTAACTACACAGTAGTTTGACTGGGGAATCCAGTGCATGCTGTGATTGTTCATAATTTGCTATGTACCTGAAGGGGAAGAAATACTGGCTCCGTTAACTCAATGAGAGTTTTGCCATTGACTTAAATGGAGCCAGACTTTCACTGGAATTTCATGTGTTAATAAAGGGCAATATCCTGCTGTACCTGTTCAGCACTTACTGTAACAGAATTTTTACCTGAATAAGGACTGTGGGATTTGGCTCAAAATACCAGTACTGTAGCTTGAAATATTATTGTTTTGTTACATTTTCATGAGCTTACAAAATTTGTTGTGAAATCATATTCTTCTTCAGCTCTTTAACTTTGTTTAAAATTCTTTCCTTCTTTCCTTTCTCTTTTGAGCCCTGTGGGATTGACAGAAAATTCATGACTCTGAGGGTTTTTTCTGTTGCACGTACATACAGACGCATACATTGCCCTTAATGGGAAATATTTGCATGCCACCCCCACTGCCATTTCCAACATCGAAATATCTGTATAAACTGCAAGATTAGTCTTTTCAAGACACAGTTCTGACACTTGCTGTGTGAGCAGCAATGCAAGTACAAAGCAAACTGACATATACATTATTTCAACATTAACTTATCAATGCTCCTATCTGGGGATAATTACAGATTCAATTCCGCAAGGTACTGAGCAGCTCCTCAGGAACTGCTGAGCCCCTTGAGGTCCCATTGACTTCAGTGGCACTGAGGATGCTCACCACTTTGAAGAAAGCACTTACCATCTCAAAAGTTAGGGCCTTTTGAGCCCCCTTTCACCTTGACTCCAATGGTTTTTTTTTAATAATTAGCATGCATCTGTTAATTAGCCCAAGAATTCCCTAGTGGTTATTCTAGGTGATGTGACTGGCTAGTGACCCCGGGATTCGTTGAAATTCTCTGAGGTTTTGAATACTGAACCTTGATCAGCTCCTGCTGTGTGCATACTTCTCTCATATGTCGTTCAGGAAACTTCTTCTGTTTCTGAATCTTCTTCTCCCTCCATCCACGGACTGAGAGTCCTTTGGATTGTGGTTCAAATAAAATAAAATGCAATAAAATAAGAAAAGCCTGATTATTATTTACGCAAGTTCTCTCTAGAGAGACAAGGAGGGTGAGAGAATTTCTTTTATTGTTTCAACTTCTGCTGGTGAAAGAGGAAAACTTTCAAGCTTAGATGCTTCTTTAGGTCTGAGAAAGTATTCAGTGTCACAGCTAAATATATAAGGTGGAACTGATATGGAGTTAACACATGTTGCAAGAGACCATTCAAAATGAAGTGAGCAGCTAATACCTCTACAGTCATAGGATAAAGGAGGGTTAGTGGGTCACAGATTGTTGTAATGAGACATAAATCCAATGTCTCTACATTCATGATTTTTGCTGGCTGGCTAAGTTATGAATATAAGTTCCCAGGCTCATCTTTTGAAGGTGTTGTGCAAGTTTCCTTTGCGGACAAGGAGTGAGAGGGCAATATGGAGTGATTGTTTTGTGGACAGATGTTCTCCCACAGGTGGTACGGTGGTTTTTGTCTTATCATTTTCTGTGAGTGTTCATTGTGGGTGAAATAATCATGATACACTCCACTCTTGCTGCGGGATTTAGTGCATTGGATGAGGTACACCATGTGTTGTGATGGGCATGTGTAGGACCCACGGATCTTGAAAGGTGTGTTGTGGGAGGTATTGATCATCATAGTGGTGGAAATATGTCTGCAGGTTTTGCATCTGTGGTTCTGGCAGGTCTGGTGCCCCTTTGAGTTGGTGTGTCCTAGTCTGTGGGAGGTTGGGGAAAGATTTCTTTCAGGATGTGGTCCCCATCAAGTATGGGTTGTAATTGTTTGATACCTGTATGGGTTCCAGAGTGGTGAGGTAGGTGACAATTAAGCAGTTACAACCCATACTTGATGGGGACCATATCCTGAAAGAAATCTTTTTTCCCATCCCCATCTTCTGGCCTTCCAACAACCTCCCAACCTCACTAAGCTCTTCATCAGGAACAAGCTTGATTTTTCCCCCCTAAAGTTAGAAATCATTTGGGTTGCACCTAGGTAAATGAGGGAAGAAAATTTAGCTTCATAAATACATTCACCAGAGGGGATTGTATTCACTTCCTAATCCTTGATGATATTCATTTATGTATTTATAAGTTTATGCAAAGGAACTTTTAAAACAATTTGGAACTAGCAACTATTAACATACATGCCCATGGGATATTATTACTGTTACCCTCATCTTCCCTCCTTCCCTTTCTCTCATTACTTGCTGCATTCACTTATTGCATCTTGTTTAATGTTGGATTGTCAACTCTTTGGGGTCAGGATATGTCTTCATATGGGTTTGTATGGTGATTGTCTTCATGACCTATGGCAGCTGCTGCAATATAAATGTTTAATAATCATCTTCTCTGATTTGCAGCTGGCAGAGACGACAGACAGTCCATAACGTTTCACATCACTACACATAGGCAAATTAACAGTAACAGAGAAAAAGAAGCTAAATCTTACTTTGGCTGATGGCAGTTCTGCTGCAGTATATCAAATGAATATAGACAGCACTGTGGTTACTTGAGGAAGGATGATGCAGTGGTGAGAACGCTAGTCTAGGCCATAGGAGATCTGGCCTCAATTCTCTTCTCCACCAGAAACTTCCTGTGT